ATAAAAATAATGAAATAATGATAAATAATTTAATACTTAAACACATAAACAAATATAGCAATGACACATAAACAATTACATTAAATGAATAATTAAAACATTAACTAAATAATCAAACCAACATACCAATTAAATAAACAAATAATTAAATAATCACACAATTAACAATTAATTTAATAAAATCAAATTAAAACAATTAAATTAAATAAAATAAATTCTCTGCAAAATTAGACGTATTACAATAAACACATGCACACTTATACGCATAAGTTTTATGATTTTATACAATATTAAAATAAATTTTTTATAGTGTAGATATGGATAAATTGAAAACCCAACTAAATAAGTAATTGGTATTTTATTTTCGTTAAAATTAAAGTTAGTTATATTATTTTTTTAGTAATTGAAATTTTATTCTAGTTGGTATTTTATTTAATTAAAATTAAAATTAGTTATTTTATTTATAAGTCAATGAAAATAGGAGAGTATGGTAGGAATCCCGAGCAGAATAGGAATTTAAATTGAGAATCCAACTAATTAGTAATTGGTATTTTATTTTAGTTAAATTAGTTATTTTATTTATTTTTTTTATTTATGAATCAATGATTTGAAAAACCTTGAAGAACAAATTAATATATATATATATATATATATATATATATATAAGAGTTTTTTCTGTTAATATAGTGGTTAACTTGTGAAACGAAAATAAATTTTTTTTTAGTTAATATACTTGTTAACTTGTAAAATAAAATAATTAGTTTATAATAAGGTAAAGATTAATTTTCAATTAAACAATTACCTATTTTACTACCTGACCCCTTGTACTTTTAATACTAGTACATCTAAACAAAAAGAATTACTCCCTTCTTCTTTCTTCATTGGTCTTCACTTTCTCGTCCAAATTCATAGAGTAAATTTTGCACCTTAGATTCTCATAATGCTGCTAAAAAAATAAAATAAATAAAAATAAAAATTCTCACACAATGTGCTGCGTGCAGTTAAAGTACAGAAATTTCAAGCACAAGCTAGCAAGAAAAAAGGGGAAAAAAAAAAAGTAGTACAAAAATTCTCTGGTAGATGCCGCTTGTAAATTATCTGGTAAGTGTCCCAAGCAACAAACCTCTCTCTCTCTCTCTCTCCTCCTGTAGGTGTTGTGTGCTTATAAGTATCCCCAAACCTCACCTCTTCAAACCCATCCCTTCTCTCTCTCTTCCTCTCAGAATCCCCCAAACTGGTTGTCACGAATCCCCCAGTTCTTAGATATAAATAGACTGATATATATATATATATATATATATATATATATAGAAGATAGTATTAATTTGAGCTTTGGTCGTCCATTTCATGACTAGAATTAATTAATCTCCTTCTTTCATGTTTGTTCTTCTTCTAAGCTTTATTATAATTGTTATATATATATATATATATATATATATATATATATATATTTGGTTTAATTTTTCAACTGAATTTTAGACAGTTCTTAGATGGAGTTGTTATGACTTTCTGAATTTTTCTTCATATTTTGGAAAACTGGGTTGATTTCAACATTATTGTTTCCTTTTCTTCTTTCTTTTTTTGGTATATTCTTTCTTAGGGTTTCTCTTTTTTTTTTTCTTCTCTTTTTTTGGATAATTCTTAGGGTTCCTTTCAGTCGTAGTTCTCTTTGAACCATTATAGATGTGCCAACTCATCGCATGTTCTCGTGGTCATAAATTGAAAGTTGTATGTGTATATATATCTGTATATGATTATATGTATATGTGTAAATCTAAATTTTAAAGTTCTGATTTTTGCTGTGTTTTGATTAATTCTCTACAATATACTCCTTCTATAGTCCAATTAACCATTGTAGTACTTGAGGGTGTTAACATAAATGCATGGATTGATCAAAGAGTTGTGGTTTGCAGGTGCAGCATCATCAAGATTCACATGCAAATCCAAGGCAGTATATATATAATCACACACACACACATAGTACTGTATTTTTTCCCCCTAGTTACTGTATTAATAAATGTGCCTAAGTTTGGAAGTGAGAATCTTGATGATGCTGCATCAGCAATCCATGACTATACTCAGAAGCCGGAGAGACGGTCACACAGCCTTTCAATCAAGCAAGGGAAGCTCTCTCTCTCTCTCTTATGCTCTAATGGATGTTGCAGCCATGTCTACATTAATGGATTCTTTGATTGTGTTATTGTTCACTTGCAGGAATTAATAGAAGCTAATTAAAGTAGAAAGAAGAAGGTTACATATCAATAGAAAGGTAAGGGGAATTGTGCTATATAGCTCAGTCTTGTTTAATTTTGTATATCAATAATGGATTTATATAAATAAATACATATTTGTCTAGATATAATTGTATTATTAATTAATGTTTAAATTGTTGGGAGTTCCCATCATGCATGTTAGCTAGTCAAGTTTTAGGCTTTGTTTTTCTTTATAATTAATGTGAAATTTTCGATCCTTTGATGGAATAAACTTCAGTATTTGGGCATTTTTCCAACTGTATTGTCGGCGAAGAATATTGTATCTTTAAAATTGGAGCTTCTTAATTAAAGTCATTGCGGGATATAATGTCCTATTAATTATCTGACATGGTTGGATTGATTAACACTTGGTTGTCACACCCCAAACAAACAAATCTTCATAATTTTGTGAATTTGTGTTTATGTTAGTCATATTTTTCCCCAGTTGAAGGGATGAAAGATTTAAGTATTTAACTAACCAAAAAAAAAAAAAAAACTAAATTCAGTAATGGGATTATACATGTTTCCAATCCTCCTTCACATGATCAATCATTTGAGCCTTCCGTCACTCAATCTCCATCCATTTTCCCATGAAATATATGGGTTTTATTCTAGGATATACGTGTGTGTGTGTGTGTGTGTGTGTGTGTGTGTGTGTGTGTGTGTGTATATAAATTTCACGGATCCATATATGAAACAACTTCTTCAGGATGTGTTATTTCCCCTCACTTCTTTGTTTCTTTCGTGTCTTCACGAATTACCCACCTTTCTGATTGCTTTCGCAACAGCCTTCACAGTCATTGAGGAGAGTGTGTGCACTCTTACTTCGATAAATATTATGTTGCAGTTGTTTTCATGTTCAACAGGGCAATATTCTAATTTCTTGCATATTGTTAATTATTGTTGACTTCTGTTATAGGTTAAGGCTCTCCAACCTCAGAACAAGTTTTAGTTTCTATAGATATGAAAAATCTAGAGGTACAATAATACACACAATCATTTTAAAGGGCATTAACTATATATATATATATATATAACTTGATGTTGTTTGACCATAACAAAGATTACAAGTTATTATGTGCTGTTTTAGGGAGCAACTTGGTAGAAGATTTATATATTTCAACTATATATTATAATTCCCAAGTGTCATGATTTATATTCTTTCTTGGAAGATACCTAAATGGTTGATCAAGACTGAAAAAAAAATATTTAATTTCTTGAGGAGCATTACCTTAAAATGTTCGCTTAAAAAATTGTGCGCATGTATAAATAGGCCTATACAATGATTAGAGCAGCCTCGAATAGTTGTTCCTCGCTAAGTTTGTTTTATTAGGAGCATTTGAAGTTTAAGCATAGCTTAGAAGAATGAGTGATCGCGATTTTGACATGCTAGGTTTAGTGTTTAAAAGCCATGGATGTAGATGCTCGAATTGGGAAAGGTTAGAGACAAGAATTGTTATTCTGTGCTCGAATTGGGAAAGGTTAGATACAAGAACTGTTACGAAACTGGACAATGAAATTAGGGCAACGAATCTTTTCATGGAGGTCCACAAGTACATGTAGGGAGCAAAAACAGTTTTTTCTAGTACAAATTGATCATAGCAAATCAAATCATAGGTTTTAAAAAGATCTATAAGGTCAAATTTCTTTTGGGTGTATGTAAATAATTCAAATGTGAATCTTTAAATTGAGCTGGATCGATGTCTTGTATTCCAGCTATCATTCCATCTATGATCAGATATTAAATTATCAAATTTTCACAAGCAATTCACGGCACTTATAGTACATTTATCCTACTCAATGTCTTTGTTTTTCTTGACAGCATCCATGGTGGTGTAAATGGCATTCTGTTATTATTATTATTATTATTTTGAATTATTATTTTTATTTGTTTACTGCTACAACCATATATTTCTAGTGCATGTAATATTTTTTACCAAAGTCCTTTTGCAATCAAAAGGTAAATATATGAAGAACTGTTGTGAGAAAGAGCTAGCTAGCTTGCTGATCTTTACATTATTTTTTGGACATTCAAGCAAATAGCTCAGATATCTATAAAGTTCTATTCCTTTTCTTTTTTTTTTCAATTAAATGTTCCTAAATTTAAAATGAATCTTTTAAATAATTCATAAATAAGACAGAAAGGGAAGCATCAATTATCTAATAATCTCACACATATGAAGTAGAAATAGCTCAGATATCTCCTATATATATATTATTATTATTATGTTTTGATACAGGAATTTTTCTTTGAATTTTTTGGCAGGTGCAAGTACTATGAGATGATTGCTGAAATTTAGAGTCTTATGATATGCAATCTGAACACAGAAACTACAAGAGATTCCTTTTAATGGAGCCGTGGAGCACTGGTGCATGTTAGTAGGATTCTCTCCAGTACACTCTTTTTTTTTTTTTTTTCTTTTTTCTTTTTTTTATGGTACAAATAAATTGATAATGCAACACCACAATGTAACGATTATGAAAATGTCTCGCACTCAGCAATTTAATGGTTTTTTTTTTTAGTTAAAAAGGGTAAGCTTGTATCAATTGAAAGAAGAATCTACAAAGCAAATTTTACAACAAGGAACAACATCCAGAACCATACACCAACAAAACCAACTAATTACATGGCAAGAGCCCAAACTGGCAAATGATCTAGTAACTAGCTACAGCCATACACATCCAAATAGCTGTCAACAAAAACAAGGCAAATATAGAAGAGGCAGTAACTTAAGAGGGAGTAAGAGCCTATGCATTGGCATAGATGCAACCATCCATGAAAAGCTGCTGAAGGTCTTCAAGCCTGTTGATATTCCTCAAATCCGATGCTTTCCTCAATTTGATTGATGCCAGCCTACCTCTGATACATTTCATGATCTGACCAATGATTGTGGATGGAAATGATGATGCATTCCTGAAGGCCCTATTGTTCCTCTCCAACCAAAGGAAGTAAACAGCAGCAGAGAGTAATAATTTATGAACCAAGAAACCTTTTGAACTCCAATGTGCAGAGCACCATAAGATCAAATCACTCCATGAAGAAGGTTGAATGTAAAGCCCAATTGTGTGCTGAATAAATGACCAAATCTCCTTTGAGTACTCACACTGGAAGAATAAATGATCCAATGATTCATTGTTGGCAAGGCAGAGGTAACATGCATTGATGTGGTGCTTATGCCTCATTGGTTTGGTGCTTATGCCTCATTGGTTTCCTATCCAGTGTGTACAGTCTACCTTTTGTGGCCATCCAAGTTATAAAGCTGTGCTTGGGGATGTAGTGTTTAAACCAAATGATCTTGTGCCATGGGAAAATGAAAGTGGGAGGGAGCAGGTATTTGATTGTAGAGGCAATGGAGAAATTACTATTTGGTGAGGGTAACCATGCAATTGTATCAGCTTCAGTGGAAGGTTGATGCAGCTCATTTAATTGAGATTGAAAATTTTGTGATTGAAAAAATCGAATGTGAGCAAGTGTGTCAGGGACCACCCAATGATTAAAGGAAATTAGGCTATCAACTTTGACTCTCAAGTCCAGTTGAAGAATTTCCTCCTCATTAAGGTTAAGTTGGTTTAGAATAGGTTCATTTGGCAACCAATAATCCAACTACATCATAATGTCAATACCCTTCCCAACCTTGTGCCTCAGCAGACACCTTGTCATATCTCTCAATTTCAGTAATCTTCTCCAAAATCCAGAGCTTAGAGTCGTGGGCTTAACAGGCCATAAGCTCTTGTTTTTAATTAAATACCTATGTGTCCAAGCAACCCAGAGGCTTTCCTTCTTTCTAGTAAACAATTTCCAGATGTGTTTCAAATTAGCAGCTGAATTAATTAGCTCAATGTTTGGAAAGCTCAGCCCTCCATTGATTTTTGGCCTACACACCACCTCCTAAGCAACTTTAGCACATGATGTCTTTTACTCTGGACCAGACCAAAGAAACCTCTTCAAAATCTTATTAACTAAAAGTTTATGCCCAATAACTTTGCATGGAGCAAAGAATGAACTTGATAAGCACAACTCTTCAAGCAAAGGACAGAAACCTTGAAGTCCATATTTTCACTCTTGTTGTAATTTTTTCCACAAGAGTAAAGCAATCTGTTGAGCAAAGGGCCTTCGATGTGAGTGGTAACCCCAGATAAGTAGCAGGTAATGAACCAGAACTGAACTAGAGAAGGCCTAGGATGTCAGCTTTAACTTGACCATCAACCCCAGAGAAGAATACAAGGCTCTTGGAAAAGTTAATGCTTAAACCAGAAAATCCAAGAAACTAATTTAGTGCCTGAAAGAATGTTTGAACTGAAGCCACATTCCCATGGGAGAACAACAATACATCATCAACAAATGATAAGTGAGATAAAGCCAGTTTACTGCACCTCTAATGCTATTTAAAGTTGAAGTTATTCTGAATTGCATTGTTCAAAGAAAGAGTGAGAATTTCCATTGCAATGACAAACAATAAGGGGGAAATAGGGTCTCCTTGCTAATCCCCCTTTGACTTTTAAAGAATCCAAAAAGTTCACCATTAAGTGATATGGAATAAGAAGGTATGGTGATACATTGAGAAATCCATTGTATAAGGCATGCAGGGAAACCCGTAAGGTATAAAGCATCAATGATGAACTGCCAATGGATATTATCAAAAGCTTTTCTGAGATCCACCTTCAGTGCACAGCTAGGGGGTGTGAGGACTTATGATAGCCATTGAACAACTCATGAGCCAAAATCACATTTTCAGAAAATGTGTCTACCTTTCACAAAAGCATTCTGGGAGGTGTTAATAAAAAATGGAAGTGTAGAGCTGATCTTCAAAGCAATTAACTTAGAAATACATTTATAAATCAGATTGGTACTAAAGCAATATATGAGTAATTGATTTCAGTGAGCAACTTTCCAGAAATAATGAAGTCCTTAATGGCAGCAGTGACTTCTTGTCCTATAATGGGCCAAGAATGAATGAAAAAGCTTGAGTTGAAGCCATCAGGACTTGGACTTTTGAAGGGGTGGAAGGAATGAATACATTGTCTAATTTCACACTATCAGAAGGGATTGCTGATAATGAGGGAATAAGACTAGCTGGGACAGTATTGGTGATAAGGAGGGAGAATGAATCCATACCTGGATACTCCTAATAAGGTTGTCCTATTGAACTCTAAAAATGATTAAGAAATTCCACCTGTAGGTCCTTCCCATGAAGCTGAACTCCATCACAATTTGAGATAGACTAAATTTTCCTTCTGTTACATTTTTTTGAGAAGTTTTTCATGAAGTAGGAAATGTTATGATCTCATTCTTTTAACTAATGAATCTGAGCCTTTTGCTTGTAAAATAATTCCTCTGCTAAACAAAGCTCAGAGAGCTTGTCAACAAGAATTTTTTCTTTGCCTCTCTGATGATCATCCAATGGATTAAGGTCCAAGTAAGATTGACATGCAAATAAGTCCTCCCTGCAAGCCTGAATTCTGGAAGAAATATCACTAAATTCTCTCTTGTTAAGTTGTTTTAGTGGACCCTTCAAAGCTCTAAGTTTCTGCACAACCCTGAACATTTTAGTGCCTTGTACTTCCAGCTGCCACCCTTGTGAAACAATTATGAGAAAATCTCTGTGATGTGTCCAAAAGTTAAAAAATCTGAAAGGTAAGTTCCTCTTCATATTAATATCACCAATATGCACAATCATTGGGGCATGATCAGATACTCCCCATGGCTTGAAGTAACATTCAGATTGAGGGAACTTTGCCATCTAAGCTTGATTAACAAGAACTCTATCTAATTTTCTTGATATATTTGCACATCCAAAACTTTTGTTTGTCCAGGAATGAACAATACCTTAGAACCTCAGGTCATCAAGCTCATTCTTATTGAGACAAGATTTGAAGTTTTCCATTCCAGGAGTCCACCTGAGAACACCCCCAAATGAGTCATTTATATGAAATAATACATTGAAGTCACCCAAGAGGATCCAAGGGATACTAGTTTGGCCATGCATGTTGAGACATCTCCATAGACTTTTCCTTTCCTGAGCTGTGTTAGCTGCATATACAAAAGATGCTAAGCATCTAAACTTCAAATCCAAAAGCATGGTAGAGTAATTGATGGCCTGATTTGTAATACATGAGATAGAGACTTCCAGCTTGTCTGAGTTCCAGAGTAGCCAAACTCTACCAAGGACTGAGCAATTATAGTTACAAGCAAAGCTCCAGTTAGGAGTAGGGGTGCACAAAAGAACCGGAACCTTGAGAACCGGAACCATTTTTCACGGTTCTCATAGTTCCGGTTCCAGTTCTGGTTCCAAATTTATGAACCATGTACATACGGTTCCGGTTCTGGTTCTAGCCCGTGGGAACAGGTAAAAACCGTGTATATACGGTTCCGGTTCCGGTTCCGGTTCTTACCTGCTCCCACGGGCTGGAATCGGAATCGGAACCGTATATATATATATATATATATATATATATATATATATATATATATATATGTATGTATGTATTATATATTTAATTTTATAATAAAAAAGAAGTAAAGATAAGGCTGGCTGGACCTCATGGCTTAGACAATAGACATGTAAAACAATTTTATAAATACATCTGATGACAGGCATTCCTTGGATGTTCTGGCAATCATCCAATAGTGATCCATATATGTAGATGCCATATTAGGATGTTATATTTCAATTGATGTGTCAATGGTTCATATTTTGAATGGTTTAGTGTGCCACCAAAATGCCATACAATCAAAATGGTATGAGATTTTCTATCTCTTCTACTCAATTCTGTTATATTATGATTATCATCTGTGGTCTTTCCTTTTTTATATTGCTCACTGTTTTAACATAACTGGATTTGGTAAGCTGAAGTGCATAAACCTTGTTTCTTTTGCTGTCACAGAAATATCTGCAGTCTATAACTGTTAAAGTAGAAGAGATGTGGGTAAAAAGGCGAGATGTAAAGCAGTGGATGTCTTATCGAATGCTTCCTGATAAACTAAAGGAGCGGATTAGGCGGTATGAACAGTACAAATGGCAAGAAACTAGAGGTGCTGAGGAAGAGACCTTGATCTGTAACCTTCCTAAGGACATTTGGAGGGACATAAAACGTCATCTTTGCTGGGATCTGCTCAAAAGAGTAAGTGCATTTCTATGTTTTCTTTACTTTTTATTGTATTCAAGTATGTGCTAATGAATTTTAAAAAAATCAAACAGTTAACGATTCTCATGGAACCGAACTGGAACCGAACCAGTTCTACAGTTCGGTTCCGGTTTCGGTTCCATACTTCACGGTTCCGGTTCTGATTCCGTTTTCAAGGAACCATCATGAACAGTTCCGGTTCCGATTCCGGTTCCGGCCGGAGCCGTGTGCACCCCTAGTTGGGAGCAATAAACTTATGCGCTGCCTCAGCATTTTCAGAACTGACTTTAGTTTCAAGTAAAGTAATAAGAAATAAATTTGAATCCCTAATGAGATTCTTGACCTCTACTTGTTTGAGGGAAGAGTTCAACCCTCTTACATTCCATATAGCCCGGTTCATTGAGAAGAGTTTGAGAGGTTACACATACCCCTAAACCCCTTTAAGGTTACAACCTTACCCTTACCATGCTTCTTCTTACTCTTAGAGAACTTTGGTTTCCTTGGTTTTAACATTCTGCCATCCATGGAGAGTAGGCAGGGTCATTATTATCATTATCACAAGCAGAGGATTGGCCCATATCATCCTCATCCTCATCCCCATTCTCCTTTGGATTGTCAACAGATAGAGCCTCAAAGGGGTTAGCATTGGTAATAGATTCAGAGTTCTGAATCCTCCCAGGAATACAATGCAGTGAAAGGTCCACATACAAACAAATTTCTTTCCCCTTCCCTGAATTAACTATCTCAATTGGAGTGATTGATGGTAAGTTATCTTGGTCAAGAGTAAGGGAAATACAATTAGCAGGGAAAACACTGCTGGGATGAGAGGCTAAGGGTGTGATACTTTGCTCAATAGGGGGAAAATTACCAGTAAGATCATTATTAGGTTCAGTATTAGAATGAAGAATGGTGTGTGAATTAGAGTGAGAATTGGTAGATTTCTTTCTAGATACCATTTTCCATTGTTGTGGCTAAGTAGATGTACTTACATCAATGTTGACAAGGGAAAAATGCTTAGTTATACAATTTTCTGAGGCATGACCAAAGGAGTTACAAATATTGCAAGATAGGGGTTTCCAGGGGTACATTACCTTGATTTCTGTTAGGGAACCATTTTTCTTCCTTACATAGAATGAGCTATCAAGAGTGGAGTAGGGAGAAATTTCCGCACAGACCTTTATATAATCTGATCTGCTCCTGCTAGTGGTAATTGCATTAGCAAATAGAGGCTTTCCAATGGCACTAGCAACATAGCTTAGTCCTTTAGGGGTCCAAAATTGGAAGGGAACATTATAAAACAAAACCCAAATCGATAGTGAACTTGAATGAGAATTCTGTTTTTGAGGTTCCAAAGTCCAGGCTCTTAGTGTTACTGCTTTGCCAGCCAAAAACCATAATCCCCCTGCTAGAATACTTCTGCAGCTCTCAACTGAATTGAACCTGAAATAAAAAGTACCATTCGAGCTTCCCACCACCTTTAGAATGCCTTCTTAGCCCAAAGCTTATGTGCTGACCTAACAACCATGTTAAAAGACATTTTCTTCTCAAAAGTTCCAACTAAACAAGTGTTCCAGTGCACAGCCCCTTCCTCTTCAATTTCATCTGGTGGTTCAACAATTTTTCCCAATTCACTATCTTTTGGCCATGGAAATCAAAACTCCAATTCTCCTCTAAAGTTTGGGCAATCGCAGACCAGGTTTTGGGTGAACCAGCCAAAGCTTGATATGGGGAACTCTCTGAGGCCATAGACCAAATAGTTGGTGATTGATTAGAATTATCCAGAACATGAAGTTGGTCTAGTCTCTTTTCATTTCCATTCTGAGTGGGCTGGTCAAAGTTTTGTGGTAGTTGGTGATGATGGAACGAGAAGGACTGGGGTGATTCAAGAAGTGGTTGTAACTGACAAGAGGTGATAGGTGAGGAGTGGTCATGTCCTTCTTTGTCAGCGGCTGAAGACCCAATTTGAACTGCTTCCTCAAAGACTGGGACATTTGAATTTGAAGTAGATGGGTCCAGGTGAGCTGTAGTTGATTTGGGTAGCGCGTGAGCCACACCCTTGCCCAAAGACACCTCTTTATATGGTGACCAGAGTCCAGCCATAATCTCCCTTAATTCCAACAAAAGTTCTGTAACATTGGACATCTCCTTGATTCATTCACGTGCCTTCTCAAGCTCCAAATCTTTCTCCAACAGCTAAGCCTTGAGTCTTGCAACTTCTTCAATAAGTTCAAACTTAGAAGCATCCATTACTACCACGTCAATGCCTTCAGGGAGCAAGACCACATCACTGACCTCTAGACCCTTGGGATTAAGAATACGATCATTCTGCAGTGTTTGTCTTACTCTTTCCTTTGTTGCACCAGTGACTGTGCGTGGCGGTGGGTAAAGGTTATCTGAGTTCGTTACTTTTTCTGATTCTAGTGTTGATGTGTGCTTAGGTGGGGAGTGAGGTTGAGTTTTGCGAGGCAGCGGGCCTATACATGGTGTGCACTGGCAGATCTAAGGTAGGGCTGGGCTGGGCTGGGCTGGGCTCCAACCCACCCCAAAAAAAAAAAAAAAAAAAAAAATATTACTATGGGTAAATTTAGCCCACACAAAAAAAAAAAAATAAAAAATAAAAAAAAAATTATTAGTGGTATTAGCCCACCCTAACAAGCCCAAGTCCAAAACAAAGGCCTAATCCAAATAAGCTGAAGCCAAACAGGCCATGATCTAGTGATATGTTTTTTTGGTTAAAAAAACTAGTGATATACTGATGTGTTCCTAGCCCTAAGATTCTAAGAATTGCAATTTGCGTTCCGCCGATATCCACCACCGTCCTCCTCTGGCCTCTGCGTTCCACCGATATCCGCCCTTAGTACGAGTTGAAGCCTTGATTTCGAAAGCCTTTAGTGCATCATTAAGGTTAGTGAACTCAAAACTGAATTGATTTCTAATTTTCTAATTCTGATAGACTTGGTAGTTGGTAAAATTAGGTTTTTGATGATTTCTAAGGACTTCTTATTTTAGAAATTTATATATATATATTTTTGTGAAAATGCACTCTTTTGCTTTCAGATGAATGGAGTTTTCCTGTTACTCCTGATTACATTTTGTTCAGTGGATCTAGTTTTTCTATGGTAATCTTTAATGACAAGAAGGCAAAGCCATAGTCATGTGTATGAAATAAAGCCATCTGCTAAGTAGTAGTTTGAATCGCAAATGCTTATGGTTTTTAATTTGTGCAGGTTGTTGTTGAACACAATAAAATTAGTTGTTAGCATTTTAACTTTTTTGAAATAAGATACGGGAAATTATAGAAAATATAATATATTTGTGATTTGTGTGGCTTTTCATTTCTGCATAACTTTATAAGTAAATTATTTTTGTCAAATTGGATTTATGAATATTGTTGTGGTAGTACCGCAACAAATTATGTTTTTGCCTGTTATTGACTTGTGATTTACTGATTAGTCTGATTTACCCAGTTACCCTGGTCCCTAGATTTGGAAGAGAAGAGTTCACTACTTCAGTACTTCACTGAATATGATCAAGTATTCATGTTATTGAAAAAATCAAGATCTAAAGAATTTTGCTGTGGCATCAACAATATCTACTCTTTCACGTTCTGGATTCTGGTATGTCTTACTCATTGTGTTAATTGACTTAATTCTTGAAAATTTTGGTTCTTCAGTTATTTATTAATGAATAATGATGATTGTCCAGGCTAGCTAACTCATTTATTTTATGAACAAAAATTCAAAATACAATTTAGTTTGATTTAGGCATTTTTAATTAATATATATTTTTTCAAGTATTTTTAATTTAACTCATTATTTAATTTTATTAGGTTAAAAATAATAATGGCTCAACATCAACCGCCAAACAAGAAAGCGAAAAATATGTCTATTCTCTCATTCTATCAAAAGAGAGGCCAAATGAGGGACAATTATCAATCGAAAAAGGATATACCTAGTGCATCTAACATTGACAATGATCTTGATTCGCAACCTCCTGCCCTATCTCAAGTTGTTGAACCCAAGCAACTCCACTCCACTTCTATTGAAAGAGATCCCGAGTTACGTATTCAAATGCATGAATACCCGATGAATCAAAGGGACGAGGTTAGACGAGCTTATATCAATTTGGGGCCTTATCAACCTAAACTTTCTAATTATATATCCTAGCTCTTGGACTGGAAAGCAGAATCGGTCATTTAAGTACGAATGGTTCAAACAATTTCCTTGGCTAGAGTATTCTCCTTCAAATGATAAAGCATATTGTTTTCCCTGCTTTCTCTTTGAAGAGAGAAATAAAACGGGGACTCATTCTGCACTTATTGATGGTGGATTTAAGCATTGAAAGAGAGTTAATGATGGAGATGAATGTGTATTCTTGAGACACATGGGACTTCAATCTTCACCACATAGCAAATGTGCCATGCTTTATGGAAATTTAAGTAAATCGGCACAACATATTGATAAAGTATTGAATGCCCAATCAAGAAAAGATATTTTGAAGAATTGAATACGACTTAAGACAACTATTGAAACCGTTCGCTTTTTAGCATTGCAAGGAATTGGTTTTAGAGGCCATGATGAAAGTTCAAGTTCATTAAATAGAGGAAATTTTATTGAAGCGTTAAAGTATAAGGCAGAAGGAAATGATGAACTCTCAAGTGTTATCTTAGACAATGCTCTACAAAATGCCCAATACATTGCTCCATCGATTCAAAAAGAGATTCTTCATATTCTTGCAAACAAAGTGAGAAAAATGATTTGTGATGAAATTGCGGGAGGCAAATATTGTATTCTTGTTGATGAAGCACAAGATGAGTCTAAAACGGAGCAAATGGCTCTTGTTTTAAGATATGTCAAGCATGATGGTTTGCTAATTGAACGCTTTTTTGACATTGTGGGAGTTAAAAACACATAAGCAGTGACGCTTAAGGATGCAATATCTGATATTCTTGTTCGGTTCGATCTTTCAATTCAAAATTTGAGAGGCCAAGGGTACGATGGTGCGAGTAATATGCGCGGCGAATGGAATGGAGTACAAGCATTATTTCTTAAAGAGTGCCCATTTGTTTATTATGTCCATTGTTTTGTTCATCGATTACAACTAGCATTAGTTGCAGCAACAAAAGATGAGCCAAATATTTGGCAATTCTTATCTCACCTGACTTGTATTGTCAATCTTGTTGCTTCCTCTCCCAAACATCTTGCTGAATTAAAATCTTTTCAAAGGGATGAGATTGCACGTATGTTGAGCGTAGGTGAACGCCAATCTGGTAAAGGGGCTAATCAGATTGGCACCTTGCATCGAGCTGGAACTACTCGTTGGAGCTCACATTACGATTCTGTAAGGGATTTGATTGATATGTATACTGCATCCTGCACAGTTGTTGAAAATCTTAGAAAAGATGGGCAAACTCAACAGATACGTGGGCAATCCTTAGGTGTTTACAAGGCAATGAGAAACTTTGAATTTATATTTATCTTGCACCTAATGGATAACATTATGGGATTCACTGACACACTTTGCCAGGCCTTGCAACACAAATCTTAAGACATTCTAAATGCTTTGAAATTAGTCTCAACAACCAAAATTATCCTTCTAAAATTTAGACAAGATGATTGGGATACTTTTCTTGCAAATGTGGTGTCATTTTGTAATCGACATAACATTGATACACCTGATTTGAGTTCTCATTATGTAGAGGGTACGGGTCATCATTGTCAGCAACAAGATCATATTACAGTTGAGCACCATTATCACTTTGACATTTTTTACTCTGTAATAGATTTACAACTGATGGAGTTAGAACATAGATTCAACAATGAAGTAGTGGAACTTCTTAGTCTTAGCTCGACTTTGGATCCTAGTGATTCTTTTGAATCTTTTGATGTGAACAAGATATGCAATCTTGCTGAGAAATTCTATCCTTGGGACTTCACTGGTCAAGATATTAAATCATTGAAGTTTCAGTTGATACATTATCAACTTGATGTACCTAATGATCCAGTGTTTCAAAATACTTCTTCTCTTACTGATTTATGTGGGAAACTAGTTGCAAGAAGGAAGTCCGAGTGCTACCCTTTGGTTGACAGATTGATCCGTCTTATGTTGACTCTTCCCGTTTCTACAGCAACTACAAAAAGAGCATTTTCAGGCATGAAACGTGTTAAAACAGCGATGCGTAGCACGATGGGAGATGAATTTCTTGCTGATTGCATGGCTGTCAATCTTGAATGGGACCTTGTTTGGAAAATTGATTTGGAGTCTATTATCGACGAATTCAAGTATTTAAAGACTCGTCAAGCACAACTTAGATAGATATTTTGTAATCTTTGAATTCAAATATATATATATATTATGTTATAGAAAAAAAAAAAAAAAAAAAAAAAAAAAAAAAAAAAAAATTTACTTAAGAAATTGTGTTATTAAATTTATGTTTAATTTTAGCCCACCCCATATTCAATTCCTGGATCCGCCCTTGATGGTGTGGGAATTTTGGTTGGCAAGGGAGGTTTTCATGTAGTGTGTTGTGAAGTCAAAGGTTTAGTAGATGGGCCATGGTTGGAAGGACTAGTGCTACGTTTGGATGGGGATGAAGGGTGGTTCAATTTGTACTAGGGAAGCGGATGAAAAAGTGGTTTTCAGGTGATTTGGTGGTCTGCCGCGAGGGGGGGAGGGGTCAGAGGTTTCATACTCTTACTCACAGCAATTTAATGGTGTTGCATGTAATATTTTTGTATCTAGATCGATTTAATATATTAACGAGTGTTCTAGCTTTGACGCAAATGTGTTGCATGAATGTTATTATATTACAATATTCTTGATATAATTTATTGTATTGAGATGATCTGTTTCTCCGATGAAAGGCAAGTGTTCGACAAAAAAGTTCCTTAGGATTCCTAGATTAGTACTCAATGCCAGGAAACATAAAACATCAAATTGAGCTATATGTAACATCATAACATGCAATATGTGTGTGTGTGTGTGTGTTTATTTATATTCGTTGTTTAGGCACTTTTCTGAATTAGAACATGTGCATATATATATATATATATGTAATTATGTGTGTGGTTCGGTTTTCATTCACTGAAAGTTTTTTCCTTCAAAACACCGATTGAACTTAGCAATTAATATACTACATATTTTTGTTTTTGCATAATCTTACTCTTAGATCAACCCAGAAACAAGCAAGCTGTGAATGTACCATACAGTGGCGGATCCAAGGGGGGCTTGGGTGGGCTTGAGCCCCCCCCCCCCCCCCCCCCAAAAAAAAATAGTTGTAGTATTAGGCCCCAATTTTAACACATCCAAACAACCCAATACCTAAGCCACAACTTTAAAAGAAAAGCCCAAGCCAAACAAGCTCTAAGCAATCACTAAGTCAAAGCATAGAAAACTCCTAAATTCCTAATCTTGCACAAATCAGAGAGATCACTCCTTCTCTCCTTCTAAAGTCTAACCTTATTTCCTCTAAAATTTTCCAACTCTTTAATCTTTTAATTCCCAATTCCTCCTTGTTTAATATTAGCCGCCCCATTAACAATTCTTAGATTCGCCCCTGGTACCATATCCAAATGCTAGCTGAAATTATTGTATCTTGTCCGATAAATTTAGGTAGCTGAATTTACCATGCTCTTAGAATAAGTTTCCAACAAAAAAGAAAAATTAAGTTCCGGTAATTTACATTAAAAATGCCATAATTGTAGCACATAAGTATAGTTACGAGCCTTAAATAATAAAATTGTCTATTTTAAAAGTTCATTTTTCATTTTGATTGAATTAAACAAAATAATTAGAAATGTATCAAGAATTATTGTTAAGGTTCAAAATGTCCCCTAAATTCAAAATATTAAAATATACTTTTTAAAATTATATAATTCTAAAATATCCAAATAAATAGTTGAGACTTGAGAACCATTTTAAATTAGCAAATTATGCCGAATATTGACGACTATGCATTTAGCATCTATGTTTAAACACTCTCCTAGTCCTATATCCGTTTCTAAGCCTTTATTTGTGGTTCATTCTATTAAAAAATTTCATTCTATGCTATTAGATTACATTATTCTTGCCTGTTTACCCAACAATGAGGTGTGTATTTTCTTTACTTTTATTTTATCTGCTTATAATTTTATTATTTCTGTAATAATAATAATAATAATAATAATCATAATAAATTTTTAAAAAAAAAAAAAACTTGACTTTTAACTCTATTCAACGGCTAGAAGAAATCATGAGAGCTTCAAGAATAAGAAGTGAGAAAGGTGACTAAAATTGGTGCATCCAGGCAAGTATTGGTAAGATATCCAAGCTTCATTAACAATTTTTTTACAGATCAATGATCACTCAGTAATAAAAATCTCTCCCACCTCTCTCTAACTTTCTCTCTCTACCCGGCCTTCATCTTCTTCCCTCTATGCCTCTTTGCTCCCTTCCATGAGAGTGGGGAGATGATAGTTATCTCTCAGGACTACAATAAACTCCGCATATATCAATAAGTGCGCTCCGTGAGTGTTTTTTACGCCATTTTTGTTTTTGTTCGACTAGATCTGCTCATGTTGGATTCGTTTTCGGCTCCCATGGGCGGATTTGTTATTTTTCTCCGGCTAGATCTTCGATCTAGATCGGTTTTGGTTTTGTCCCACCTAGATTTGATCTTTTCTCCTTGATTTGATCTTGTGTGGGGGTTCGGGTGTTGGAGCACCTTGTGGCTGTAGTTTTGAAACTGTTGTATTGATGATTGTCTGACCTTCGGGTCACTCCAATTTGTTGTGTTTCTCCAATGGTGGTTCTGTTACAGAATTTTAGGCTCTGTTTTCTCCAAAGATCTAGAGTCTGTTCTTCATTTTATTACTTTACTTTATGATTTGTATATCTTTTCTGGCTTGACTTTGTACCTCTATACTGCCGTTGTCTTGGTCTTTGTGCCTTTGAAATGACAAAAATAAAATAAAATAAAATTTCGGCAGCTTTAATAGGCATAAACTCAATAAACTCCAAAGGATTTTTTTTGCCACTATTGGAGCAAATTAACTACAAGAAGGGACCAAGATAATTAACCAAAAAAAAAAGGGATCCAAGATATTCTTGGTTTTGTGCATCTGATCTAAGATCTCCTTGGCCTGCAGGTACCATTACTTCCTATAATTCCCTTTTTTCTTTTTTTTTTGCCCTTTCCACAAATAAAAATCTAAAATTATTTTTATTGTTTCGCAGCGAATTTTTAAGACAGAAGGAAACTGAGTTTCAATTCACAATGAGATCGAAAGCTTTGTTCCATTTGCATACAGTTCATGGTACGAAGATAAACTCTGTTGAATTCAAAGGAAAAAATATTTTTTTGATGTATTTATAATAATTTTGTTTAATTCAATCAAATTAAAAAATAAAAATTTTTAATAGATCACTTTGTTATTTAAGAATCCCAGCCCTATTTATGTCTGATTTTCCTTAAATTTTCTTATCAACAATTTTCATTTCTAATTTGAATGTAATGTGGACTTGTCATTCATGATATGACAATAAATTATTGGTTATATAGCTTCACTATATGTATATGTGAGGTACAAATAATATACGTGCACTGAGGAACTGAGATTCATTCTGATCTAGGTACAAATAAAGTAATGAAAACTAAGTGAAGCCAATGACAAAAGAAAAAACACACACAAAAGATCACAATCTAGAAATTCAAATCTCTACAAACTTGGAAATTTAACCTAGCTTGCCAGTAATAGGGGGGCCCTCCTTTCTCTTACAAGTGAAGCCAAACGTTTCTTCGTTGTCATCAAATGATAGTGATGCACGCATGCAATTTTTTCTCTACTCTTTTTTCTTTAAGATCTCAAATCCCAAATTGAATTATCCCACAGACAACCTCCTCCTTTAATTTTTTTTTCAAACTGTTGTACAAAAGAGAAATCATCATATCTAAAAGGACCAATTAAAAGGACAGATAAAAATAGATGCATATTATAACATATCACTAACTAGACCTTGTGTCAAAGTCTTCTAGTCTAACTGGTAAGATGCTTTCTGTTGGCTCTTTAAGCGCATGGTTTGAGACTTGACACCAATTAACCTCTAACAAACTAGAGCTTGTTGTTGGGATCGGGGTATCCAACCCCAAAAGTTAATCTTTTGGGTGAAGTGACCTTTGGCTCATGCGAGTATCGTCCCGATGGATAGAACGTCACCGATCTTACCGTCTTCCTGCCAGTTAGGTTGGGATTGGGGTATTCAACCAAAAAGATTAACCTATTAGCTAGGTAGAGTAACTCATGTCCCATATAAATCCCAAATTTTCTTGTTTACTGACTAACGTGGAACTCGTTGAACTACCCAACAGAGTTAAGATCACACAAAAATGAGAAAACACAACTATAGCTCAATAGATCCAAACAAAGCAACAACAACCCAAAACCCTAACAACAAGAGCAGATAACAACCCAAAACCCTAAAAGACATGTTGTATAACTTATATATTATAGGGAAAATTAGGGATAGATGAACTTAGGGCTCCATTTTACATATTTTTTCCTATATTATAA